TTAAATTTGGTTTTGTCATGGAATATTTTGAATTCTCCGTCTATGTTGATTGAAAGTTTTGCTGGGTATAGTAGTCTAGGTTGGAATCTGTGGTCCCTTAAGGTCTGTATGATTTTTGTCCAGGCCCTTCTGGCTTTCATAGTTTCTGTTGAGAAATCTGGTGTGATTCTGATAGGTCTACCTTCATATTTTACTTGGCCTTTTTCCCTTGCTGCTTTTAGAATTTTTTCTTTGTTCTGTAGGTTCAGTGTTTTGACTATGATGTGATGTGAAGAATTTCTTTTCTGGTCTAGTCTATTTGGTGTTCTGAAGACCTCTTGTATGTTTATGGACATCTCCTTCTTTAAGTTGGGAAAGTTTTCTTCTCTAATTTTCTTGAAAATATTTTCCGGACCTTTGAGCCTGATGTCTTCTTTTTCTTCTACTCCTATTATTCTTCGATTTGGTCTTTTCATGGTGTCCTTGATTTCTTGGATGTTTTGTGTTTGGAACTTTTCTGATTTTATTTTTTCTTTGAGAGACGTGTCAATTTCCGCAAGTGTATCTTCGGCTCCTGAGATTCTTCCATCTCTTGTATTCTGTTGGTGATACTTACCTTTATAGTTCCTGATCTTTTCTCTATGTTCTCCAGCTCCTGGTTTTTCTCTATTTGTGTTTTCTTTATTGATTCTAATTCTGTTTTCATGTCTTGCACCATTTCCTTCATCTGTTTGAATGTGGAGTCCTGCTTTTCAATGACAGCTTCTATTTTTTTGTCTGTTCCCTCTCTATGTATCACTAATTGTGCCTCTACTTCTTTGGCTATAATTGCCTGTATTTCTATGAGAGCTTTGTTTATTTCTTCTTTATTTGCCTTCATTTGTGTGGACATTTCTTTGAGAGCTTTGTTCATTTCTTCTTTGTTTGCCTCAATTTTCGTGGTCATTTCTCTGAGAGCTCAATTTGTTTCCTCTTGGTTTGTCTCGATTTCTTTGGCTATTTCTCTGAGGGCTTTGTTCATTTCATCTTTATGGGCCTCTAATAGCTGGAGAAACATAGTTTTGAGGTCATTTTCTTGTATATCTAGTGAATTGAAGTGTCCATTGTTTTGTGGGGTTGCTGATGAGGTCATTATGTCCTGATTTTTGTTGGGAGTGTTCTTACGTCTGCCTCTAGCCATCTGGTTATTTATAACCCTCACTGTTTGTTCCTCGAGTTTGTAGTTCGGGCTATGATCGTCTCTTTCTGTTTTCTGGACTGTTTTTTCAGGAAGATAAGAGAGGTTCACTGGTTTGGGAGTGTGCACTGTGGTTTCAGTTTTGTCTAAGTAAGGAATGTGATGCTGGCGCTATTCTTGTGCGCTTTTAGCGGGCGCGGTGTGCATGCGCGGATTCTCTGACTGTTGCAGTGGCCTGCAAGCCACTATTACTCAGTTCTGACTGAGATCCAGGGATTGTTTGCCTGGATTACACTGGTGGACCTGCAAGGCAGAGGCTTTAATGTTGGGGTCGCTATCCCAAGAATCCCTATGATGCCCACACTAGGGGTGTGCATGGCAGGGATCTCGTCTGGTTGCTTCTGTGGAGAGGCCCTGGGTCTGGGGCAAACTCTTCCCTAGAAGGCTTACTCACTCTCTTGCAGGACCAGTTGGAATGCACAGGGGTTCCCCTTGCTCTCTACTCTCTGATTTGGTCCTGCTGCGGGAAATGCCTGGGTAGGCTAACAGTCAGCTCTGTGACACTGTGGCCACAGGACTCGGTGTCCACCTTTCCTGTGTGCTGCCTCTCTGTCCTTTCCCTCTACCAGGAGGGGTTATGTTGACTGGTCCCAGGGTAGCTTGGAAAAGAGTTAGGATTGAGTGTTCTCAATCCCAGATCCCGGGCCCAGATCTCTCTGCCAGAAGCAGCCTGGCGGTAGAACCTATGTTTGCTAATCCCGAGAGAGTACTAGGTATGGTTGAGTGTCCTCAGATCCAGAGCTTGGATTTCTCTGCCAGGGGCTGCTGGGTGAGCTGAAGAGGGGGTGCTGTGTCCTGTGGCAGGCTGCCTCTCTCTCCTTCCCCTCTGACCTTCCTCTCTGCTAGGGCAAGCTTATGGCAGTGCTCTCAGGGGAGTGCCAGAAGGGGTTGGGACTTCTCAGTCCTGATCCTGAGCCAGGGTTTCTCTGCCAGGGGCTCAGGGGCGGGGGGTGGCGCCGGTGATAGGACTTGTTGCTAGACCTTATTGCGCTGGACCCAGGAGAGTCTCAGGACATGTTGAATGACCACAGTCCCAGATCCCGAGCTGAAGTTTGTTCACTAGGAGCAGCTGGCAGCACTGGGGTCCCTGCACTATGAAGCCGCTGTGTGCCTCCTTATCCTTCTGCCCTGCTTCGGCAGGGTTATGGTGGCATTTGGGGGAGTGTCCGAAAGGATTGGGTTTTCTCAGCCCCAATCTCGGGTTGGGGTACAATGTGGTCTGTGGCAGATTCTGCTGGACGCCTCCTGCCTCCTCCGAAGAGGGAGTAAGGATTTTGAGCTGGGCGCACAGCTTTCTGCGCAGAGTGGGAGCTCAGTTGTGATGGCGGCGGGTACCGGCGGTCAGCGAGACCTTCCAGGGAAAGACTGGGTGACCCGTGATGTGATCAGACTCGCAACTTTCCTTCCTCATGGGGTTTTCTTGCGACTGGGACTGTCAGTCTCTGGCACCCTTGTGCCCACCAATCAGCCTGGGAAAGTGATCGGGATACGCTGGGGTGTGGCTCCAGCCTGGAGACGCAATGCCCGTGTTACCAGGGATCTCTTCTGGGTTCTGGCTGAGCGGCCCAAGAGTGGACCCAACCGATTCCCACGCTGTGAGGGCCTATAGGGAGAGATTTTATGAACTGAATACATGCAAAGGTGTCTAATTTATTTACTATGCACACAGCTATATTTATTTCTGGATCTCACGATCCTGTTGATGTTAAGCTAAACACAAACTCATGTAAATATATGGCTTTAACCCAGCAGTGTATTGAATCCACCCTTTGCCTCCTTCTCTGGTCACTTAGAAATATAATTTCCTATTCATGGATTTACTCATTCAACTTCACTAAGAAAATTAAAATTCCATAATTGCTCAAATTATGGAATAAAAGGGTCACATTGAATGGTTAACATAGAGGACTTTTGTTGACAATGAATAACTTCCTTTTTGGATTGTTTACTGCTAGCATGCTGAAATGGTTGATGGGGGTATTCTTGAATCCTGACACTTTGTAATGCACTTTAGTTAATGTATATTGAGCACTAAATTTAAGTTTTAAGATTCATATTATTTTAAAATAACTAAACAGTCTCAGATAGCTGTTTTAATTTAGTTTTCTTGGCTGTTGTTTTATATAAACTTCTAGTACATTTGAACAAACTTGATGAAAACAAAATATCTGCTTTCTACCTGATCGTACTTGAGAGGTTTTTATACTTTCTCTCCTGGTGCCATGTTTACTGTGGGTTTTAATAATTGTTTATCTTAAAAAATTCATTTCTAGCTCCAGCTACCTGATAGGCTTTGTAATGAAAGAAAACTTTGACAAGTGCTTAGTTTGGGTTAGCAAAATTGATGTTTTTGTTGTCTCTTCATTATAGTAATTTGCTTTATCATGTAGTTGACTTTTATATAGTGAAGCACCTGCTCACTCCTGAGATGTCATTATAATGGTTTGTAAATATGTTTAAAGGCTGACATGTTTATTTAGTTCACATCTTCAGTGATTATATATGTATATTCTAAGGGGGTATTGTCTGTAATTTTCTTTCATTGATGCTTTGTCTAGCTTTGGTCTCAAGAAGTGTTGACATCATAGAATAAGCTAAAAAGTGTTTCCCAGTATTATTTGTGATCATAAGAAAAAAAGTTAAGAAAATATAAGTCTGGCTAGCTTTGTTTGCCATCAGCAAAACAGTGGAAGAGCTGAGCAAAGTGGTACATGTCTATAATCCCACCACTGAGAATTCGAAGAGTGGTCTGGGCTAAAGAGAGGCCCTATCTCAAGTTACAAGGAAAGAAATAAATCACAATAAAAACAGCACAAATGTTCCTTAACTGGGGATAAATAGTGTGCCAAGTGCTTATGATACAATATGAATGCAAAATAGAAAAGGTTCTATAACCAAAAAGGCAAAAATACAAATGGACCTGGAGTGTAAATATCTTAGTAAAAAAGACCAAAAGCAATGATTATATTCGTGAGGGACTGGTTAAGGCTGTCATCACAAAGGAAAAATTATATATACAAAAAAGTTTGTTGTTTTTAAGTTCTACAATATGAAAGAATAATTGATCCTTCAAGAGCTTGAAAAAAATTAATAAAGGATGGTCATGGGAGTGGTAATATTAATACACCTTCGACCAAATTTGGAAGGTTATATGATAAAATGTTTATTTATTGGCACTTATAAATTATACATTAATTGGAGAAAAGAGGAAATAATTGGTGATACAAATACATTTAAACCATCTACCTTAGATCCAGAAAGAGTTTGATTTATTTCTTATGAAGTTGAAATGAGAACCTAGAGATGACCTCAGGGGAAATGTCCCCAGAGAGTCAATGTCTCCATAGTGTCCAGATAGCTTTGTGCACTGCCCTTTGAAGTTAACCCTGGTGATCCACTTTAGAAGAGCCTGATGGCAAGCCGACCATGGTTGGTCATCACTGTCATCTGAGATGTTGATATTTTCCCATACACACTATATTTTTTTCTGAGCTGAATATTTTCTAGGAATCATCCACCATGGTGGAAAAAAGCAACCAAGGTAAAATGGTATTGAGTAACCTCAGAGAAGTGGCCAGTTAGCAAGCAGTTCTGTGTATCTTCCTCCGCTTGTACTTTACAGACACATATGTGTGGACACTCTACAAGAGAGGCAAAGTTAATAATCTATTTTACAAGTAAGGAAGAAGTAAGAGAAACTTCTAAGGACACAGGGAATGCACAGTAAACTCACGCTGGCATGTATAAGTGTCTTTTTTTCTTTGTCTGTGTTTTGCTGCTTTAGAAAGCTCAGCTCACTTTTATTATCCCCTGCCCTGGAGCCCCTCTGAGGATCCCCGTGCATTACTCTATGGGAGGACTTCTCATTGCAAACACACTGCTCAGAACTGATGGTCACTCTTGTTCAAGGAGCAAGGTAAGATTTTGAAGTCACCCTCTGCTTTTAGTTTACAGTACAGCTCACACAAAAGTAGCATTAGAAAAGCCACTGTGAGTCATTTCATCAGAGTTCAAGGATTTGAGCCATTTTCTAAAGCACAGAGTTAAATCTGGCTTGCAAATATAAAAATTTTGTCATTGGAGAGCTGAATGGTGGTTATGAACTATCAATGTTCTGGTTTGTAAGAATCCTAGAGCAAATCGTAGAGATGAGGTGCTGGCTGGTCAGGTATTAATTTGATTTTGTTATCTGTTGGTCTCTCATTGGAAATTTAGAAAGTACACTAAAATGGGCATTCTTTAAACTAAGGAAAGGATTATAACTTAATGAGAAAAAGAGCTAATCTTCATTTTAGTGATCCCCACTCAAATCGTATGATCTCATTAAAACAACAGCTTTTTAGTAAGGATAAAACTACTCCAATTTGGGATCATCACTCTTTGAACTAGTTGTGGAAAAGTAGAATATCAGTTAATTTCATAAACAACAAATGGTAAATGAAATATGTTTTATTCACATATAATTACCTTTTACATACGCATGCACTCTCACACATGCTTCTTAATCAGGAGCTTGCAGGATCTATAGCAGCCAGCATGTACTAAGGCGGTCCTGTGTGTTAAGGTTTGCATAAAGACTTACTAGCTGGGTTTGTCAGGTGAGCTGCTGTCAGGGTTAGAGAAGCCTAAGAAGGAGATACAGTTGGTAGAAGACGGATACACCTCTAAGGGCTTAAGATTGGAGTAAAATGATTTTAAAGTATTGTGTTTTTGTCAGAAAAGAATCAAACAAAAACTTCAAGCAGATTTTTTTTTTCACTGAAAAGAAGTCATGAATCCCAGTATAGCTCACACCGTAAAAATTTTTCAACTCTCATGTTTGTGATTCAGCCAAGTTAGCGCAACTCTAAGCAACAGGAGGAAAATGGTCTCAGGATGGAATAAAGATATGCAAGGAAGTGTTAAACGAAAGAGCGGCTCATGCGTATTACATAGGACAATCAATCTGATGAGCAGAACACGAGTGACTGGGGTTCACCAAAAGACTTGCTGGAATGACTATTTAAAAAAAAAAATGGAGAATAAGGTTTCCAGACTGCAACACTCATGCACGCCTGATGCCGTACATGTTGCCACAAAGGGTGAATAAACTGTAATTAATAAAAATAAAAAAGAAGTTAAAAAAATAAAATAAAAAGAAGAGCAGAGTTCAATTCTAATACCTGGCTATAATGATGATAACATGATTATTATGATGGTGGTGATGATGATGATGATGGCATAGCCAGCCATCATGCAACTAGGCCAGACATCAGTGTTTTGTGCACTTAGAAAATAGATTTTCTCATTTAATTTAGACCACAATACCTCAACACTGGATACATTATCTTGTGTCTGGCTTAGAGTTGGGCCATGGGCAGTGATTCGTAGGCTGCAAATGTAAGGCTGACATGCAATTCTCCTCAGATCCAAAGTTCTCTAACCAGTGATGCCGGGAATCCTGAGCTCCTTCGTTATAATTATCTCTGCATCCATGGAAGCGTCCCCCTCCCTTGTTCCAGTCAGTTCACTAGAGCTGTTATGCATGTGTTCACTGGGAAAAGCCCTAAAACTGAAATGAACCAGCAAAGACAATGGCTGATTATGAATAGCGACTTGATTTAAACATGGGTTACATCATTGAACTTGATAACCATTTAGTCTGGGACCAAAATTTGGCCTGCAGATTAGTTCTATCAACACGAATATAAATCTTAGCCTCTGGTGTCCTGAAATCTAAGAGAAAGCAGCCATTGTTCAAATTTGATCAGAAATATGGGAGTCCATGTAGAAGAGTCTAGAGAACAGTCCCTGACACATTTCACATGGAAATACGTAAACTCATAGGGATGGGAAAAGAACTGGCTGGTTTACAACCTTCAGGAATGTTATGTCGAGTAATTCATTAAATTTCTAAAGTATCAGCTCACAAATACGTAAGACTAAACTGAAGTGATAACCTCTAAGAATGCTTCATTCAATTGGCAGAGTTCTTTAGGCAAAAATTTCTTAAGCTTATGCTTTAGGTGTAGAGAATCATTTTGTTGGCAGTGTGTGTGTATTTACATAAGAGTGGTTTGTGTTTGTGTGCCTCATGCCTCAGTCAGAAAGCGGAGGGCAGTGGGCATCTCTCGAGAGTGAGTTCTCTTCTTTCATACTATAAGATCTGAGTGTTGAATTCAGGCCATTAGGATTTGTGGCAAGTACTTTCAATATACTGAGTCATATCAGTGGCCCTAGTTATAAAAAAAAAAATAGAAACACACATTCTTACTATAATGATACAATCCCCGCATTTGGTATGAAGACACATCATTTGCTTGGCAATCTCCTCTATACTTAATAGGCTCTTCTTCCTTCTCTTCAATTCAGGGCATCTCCTGATTCCCAGATAACACTGATGGAGAACAGTACAGAGGTGACAGAGTTCATCCTCCTAGGTCTAACCAATGCCCCAGAATTGCAGGCCCCCCTTTTTATCATGTTCACTCTCATCTACTTTGTGAACATGGCTGGGAACTTGGGGATGCTCGTGCTGATTCTCTGGGACCCTCGACTCCACTCTCCCATGTACGTTTTTCTTGGTAACCTGTCTCTGGTGGACATCTTTTACTCCTCGGCCGTCACTCCCACCGTTGTTGCTGGACTTGTTTCTGAAAACCAAGCCATTTCCTACAATGCTTGTGCTGCTCAGATGTTCTTATTTGTAGTCTTTGCTACTGCAGAAAATTTTCTCCTGGCGGCAATGGCCTTTGACCGCTATGCAGCAGTGTGCAAGCCCTTGCACTATACCACCACCATGACGCCGACCACGTGTGCATGTCTCACCGTGGCCTGCTATGCCGGTGGTTTCCTGAATTCCTCCATCCACACTGGGGACACATTCCGACTCTACTTCTGTGGGTCCAATGTGGTCCATCACTTTTTCTGCGATGTTCCGGCAGTCATGGTTCTCTCCTGCTCTGACAGACATGTCAGTGAGATGGTCCTTCTTTATGGAGCAAGCTTTGTTATCTGTTCTGCGCTCGTCATCATTTTGGTATCCTATGTTTTCATCTTCATCACCATCTTCAAGATGCGCTCAGCCGCAGGGTACCAGAAAGCTATGTCCACCTGTGTTTCTCACTTCACTGCTGTCTCCATTTTCTATGGGACTCTTATTTTCATGTACTTGCAACCCAGCTCCAGCCACTCCATGGACACTGACAAAATTGTGTCTGTGTTCTACACCATGGTCATCCCCATGCTGAACCCTGTGGTCTACAGCCTGAGAAACAAAGAGGTGAAAAGTGCATTCAAGAAAGTTGTGGAGAAGACAAAATATTCCCTAGGGTTTTGAGTTTAGCCTTGTGTAATCTACTGCAGTGAAGCGTCATGCCTGTCATAACATTTCAGATCCATGTTGATGGTAATTACAAGAATCAATACTCTTCTTTTATCCATTTTTTTTTAAAGAAAAGGTACACAATGATGTAAATGCAATGTCTGTTTTAGAATGGCTAATGGGAAGTTTCACATGTGTTGGTCATGTTTTTCTAAACATTCATGGATCAGACTGTTTATTCACCATTTCTAAAAGCATTTTCTACATGCCACTAGTAACGTATATGTAAAACGAGAAGCAATAGAAAGCCCATAAGAAGAAATGTCTGCTTGTGACACACTTGGGCACCCACATGATGTGGGTTACATGATGTTTGAACATATTCAGACATCAATGGAACACTGCTCTTTGGCTGTTGTGTTTTTGTTTTTGGCTTTTTTTTTTTTGCATCTTTGTGTGGAGTGTATGCTTGTATATATGCATGTTTTCGTATGTGTGGGCATGTGTGTGGATACTGGTACGTCTCTTGAGGCCAGAGGCAGAGCTTCTTTCTCAATGGTTCTCCACATTATTCACTGTGGTAGGCAGGTGAACACAGATGTGACAGAACAGCTGGCATTGCTAGCAACTGGTCTCTGAGATCCCACCATCATATTCTGAGTGCTGGTATTACAAATGTGCTCCTGTGGTCTCCATGCTGGCATTACAGGTTGATCCCTATGCTGTTCTGGCATTATGAAAATTCCAACTTGGTCCTCATTCTTGCATGGCAAGTGCTTCACCCTCTTATCCATCTTCCAGGTTGCATTGCTAGTATCCAATAAAAATAAGTTGAGATAGTTCATTGGGGTATTAGAATATAAATTATGGTTGTTTTTCTTTAGCTAAATAACTATTCTATCCTCTAACGGATGCAGGTCTAAACACATGTGTCCATCTTCTTGTATTTTATGGAGAGATAGAGATTGAAAGTATTTTATGCAAATTTAGCTGTAAAAAGGGTATCTGAAAAGAATTAATACTCTTTTCTTGATGAAGCTAACTTGTAGAAATTTGTTACATGATACATTTCAAAGGGAAAATTGTGCAAAGTATAATGAAAGTGAAGTGAAAACAAAGGAACTACCCATTTCTTGTATGTGACTACCCACATGTGCACTGCTTTAAAAGTGCCCTGCCACATTCTGAGTGCTCAGTGATGCCCGTTTATCCCTAATGTAGTTGCACCAATTCTTGTCACTCACATAGTCTGTCCCTTCACTCCTCTCACACTGATGTCCTCGATGTTCTCAGCTGAAAGCATGTCTCTACCTCAGGGCGTTTGAGCTTGCTGCTCCCGTGGATGGAACTTTCCTTCAGTACATTCAGGCCTCTGCTTAAAGAGATACTAACCACCTCGGGAGCCTTCCATGATGCTCATATGAGACTGTCACTTTCCTTTCTATTCACGCTGTCCCTCCACTCTGCCTTGTCTTCACAGTGGTCATCAGCACCTCACCTGGAATCTAAATATAAGTGAGAGCATTCCCTTGATCTATTTTAATCACATGTGCCCGCTTCTTACCCATGCCTGGCACTATTAATGTGGCCAAGAACCGGAGACTAGATAGGTC